GCCCTGTAGCCCACCCCATAGTTCGCACCGGAGCCCGCCCCGTAATCTGCCCCGTATACCGCACCTTAGCCCAACCCGCAGCCCGCCCTGTAGCCCGCCCAGCCCATAGTTCGCACCGAAGCACCCGCTCCCCTTAGCCTGCACGCACATTCTAATGAGCTGGCGTGCTTGCCGATCCTGAGTGTCAGTAAGTGCAGGTGCGAGTCTGTATAAGCTATAGAATCAGATCAGACACGAATTTTTAGTGACACTGATTTTTCAGCATTTTTTTTTATAAGTGTTAACACTGATTTTTCAGCTTTTTTTATGTGTACCAAGGCTGATCAATCAGCCAACCTCAAAACGAATCTGAGGCCCTGCAAATAACCCTTGAAAAAATGCCCCTGGGTGTGATGCCCACAATTGGTTGAACGAGGATGGGCTGAAAGAGGATGGGCTGAGAGAGGATGGGCTGAGAGAGGATGGGCTAAGAGATGGAGAGAACGCGGGACACTAAGAGCTGTGGTGCGACGAGAGCAATGCTGGGGGTGCGATAATTGCACGATGGGCACGTGTTGTTTGCACTACATGAGGGTGGTAAGGAGGGAGGGAGATAAGGAGGGAGGGAGATAAGGAGGGAGGGAGATAAGGAGGGAGGGAGATACGGAGGGAGGAGATAAGGAGGGAGGGACATAAGGAGGGAGGAGATAAGGAGGGGGAGATAAGGAGGGGGAGAGGTAAGGAAGGAGGGCGTGGGAGCAGGGCAGAGGACGGGGGAAAGCAGGGCAGAGGATGGGGGGAAGCAGGGAAGAGGATGGGGGGAAGCAGGGCAGAGGATGGGGGAAAGCAGGGCAGATGATGGGCAGCGAGTGGGGGAAAACAGGGTAGATGGTGGGGGAAAGAAGGGCAGAGGATGGGGGGAAGCAGGGGGGAAGGTGGGCGGTCAGAGGAGGGAGGGAAGGGAGTGAGTAGGGGAAGAAAAGGGATAACAACTAGAAGCGAGGGCGACGAGAAGGGGGAGCGGGGCCAAGATGGGAAAGAAGGGGCTACGGGCAGGGCGATGAAAAGGGGAGAGTGGAGGGCAACGAGCAAGGGAAGCGATGGCGAAAAGGGGAAGTGAGGGCGATGAGCAGGAAAATCCGAGGGACAAGCAGGGTAAGCGCAGGTGAAGGGCAGCGGAAACGTGAGCAGGGGAAAGGTGGGCGTCAGACAGGGGAAAAGGTGGGCGACAGGAAGCAGCGAGCGCGACGGGCAGTGTCCGCGCCCGGGCAGGGGAAACGTGGGTGACGAGCAGGGAACTAGCGAGAGTGAGGAGCAGGGGAAGCGAGGGTGACGGGAGGAAGCGAGGGCGACGGGGGGGAAGCGAGGGAAACGGGGGGAAGCGAGGGCCACGGGGGGAAGCGAGGCCGAAGGGGGAAGGCAAGGGCGGCGGGAGAAAGCAAGGGCGACGGGGGGAAGCGAGGGCGACGGGGGAATCAAGGGCGACGGGGGGAAACAAGGGCGACGGGGGAAAGCAGATTTGACGGGGGAAAGCAACGGCGACGGGGGAAAACAAGGACGACAGGGGAAATCAGGGGCAACGGGGGAAAACAAGGGCGACGTGGGAAAGCAACGGTGACGGGGGAAAACAAGGGCGACGGGGGAAGCGAGGGCGACGAATGGAAGCGAGGGCGACGGGTTGGGGAAGCGAGGGCGACGGGGGAAATCAAGGGTAATTGGGAAAAACAAGGGCGACGGGGGGAAGCGAGGGCGACGCGGGAAAACAAGGGCGACGGGGGAAGCGAGGGCGACGGGTGGGGAAGCGCGGGCGACGGGTGGGGCACACGTAGGCGTCGAGAGTGACGTGTGAGCGTGTGACGCCTGCACGAGTGGCGCTCTAGTGAGTCGGGTGGGAGCGAGCAACAGGAGAATGTGAGTGAAGAGAGTTCGTTGTAGGAATGGGAGAAGCCATTGCAGCTAGATCACGCTGCTGCGTTGACAACGCTACGCTTTCGAGTGAACTGGCTGGAAGAATAAGCCAGTGTACTACGCTAGTTTTTGCCTTGACTAATCGTTCATGAGAACCACATGGACTTTAGAGTTCCAGCTTCACTACACGACAAATTACAAGCTTAAATCACGCATGCTAAAATCTCAACTACTGCGACATCGGGGATCCCTGTGTTGAAGAACGAAGACGCACTGTCCTTGATCTCCAATACATTTACCTCCGCATGGTGCGAGCTAGCTGGCTGGCGGCTCAGTGATTAAAAAAGAACGAAAGACTAGTCGAAATAGGAGTGCAGCGGGGCACCAGACAATAATCTGTCGAAAAAGTCTCGACCCAAAACCCAAATGCCCAGTACAAGTTGCAGATTACAATTTTGGTCTTAGCTCGCGAATTGAAACGAGACCTGAACGAATCGAACCTTGCCTTCTCTGTTACTTGCAGCGAAACGTAAGTGATGGTCCCCTCCTCTCTACACGACCTAACTCCACCTCCTTAGTTTAGGGAGCCCACTAGTTTTAGGGCACCTATGGAAGTAGCGAAACCCTAGCTTAAAGCGAGCAGGCAAAATAGTGAAGGGAGGCCCAGTTTGAAAGATTGCTAACGACAAATTTGCCGAGAGAAACATTTTTGACACCAAACTGACAAGTCGGTACTGTTCTTGACGCCAGATCAAGCACATGTGATTGGTTCCCGCCAAAATAATAGAATTACAGTTCTGCCTGGTGCGTCGCAATTCTGTGCACGACAATCGCAAGGCGATTGTTTCAACACGTCCAAGCGATTTGGGCCCAGCTCGAGGTTCAAAGTGGGCTTGGGTGAACAACTAACATTTTGCTTGATCATTTCTGCTCGTAAGTGATTAGTAGCTTGGTTAGGCATAGACTTTTTTCATAAACTTAGGCCCTCGTACCATAGCCGACTAAATCGTACGGTTGCGTAGCATTGGCTTGGCTGAGTGCATGTTTCACCGGCTGTTTCGTCACTCACGCGCTCTTCGTTGCGCCGCCATCGCGATTTCCCCTTCCGTATAGTCGCCCATCCGATCGAGGCTCGCCCTCTCGTTTCGCCCTCTCGTTTCGCCCTCTCGTTTATTCTCGTTGCGTTCATGATCTCCCCTCCCCTCCCCGTCGCGCTAGTTATCTCACCTCTTTCAGTGTCGCATTCGTAATCTCATCTCTCTCAGTACCTCGCTCTTGATCTTCCCTCCTCTTCTCGTCACCCTCGCTATCTCCCCTCCCTTCCCCGTCGCGCTTGTTATCTCCCCTCAAACTCGCCATAGCTATCTCCCCTCCCCTTCACGTCGCCATAGCTATCTCAGGATCGCGCTCGCTATCTCCCTTCCCCTTCCCGTCGCGCTCTCCGCTCGCCGCCTTTCTCCCCTCATCATCATCGCCCTCCGGTTCTCCCATCGCCCCTCGCGTCACCTCCTCGTAGCCCCCCCCCGTTTCCCCTCCCATCACCCACCTCGTCCCCCTCACGAGGTCCCTGAAACACCTCTCCAGTCCCATCGATTTCGTTCTCGTTTTATCCCCACCAATCCCGCGTCCTGATTCCCTCCGCTCCCATCCCGTCGCCCTCGCGCTCTCCCCTCCCGTCCTATCATCCTCGTTCCCTCCCCTCCCATACCGACGCCCTCGTTTTATCCCCACCCATCCCGTCGCCCTCGTTCCCTCCGCTCCCGTGCCGACGCCCTCGTTTTCTACCCTCCCGTCCTGTCGCTCTCGTTCCCTTCCCTCACGTTTCGACGCCCGTATTTTCTACCCTCCCGTCGCGTCGCCCTCGTTTTCTCCCCTCCCATCCCGCCGCCCGCGTCTTCTCTCCGTTCCGACGCCCTCGTTTTTTACCCTCACGTCGCGTCCCATCGCCTTCGTTCCCTCCCCTCCTGTTCCGTCTCCATCGCGCTCTCTGGGGGGGCAGAAATTTACGAGAACCACGCGTCACTGCGTGGTTGGGCTTGCGGAGATATTTCCGAAGGTATAGACTATTGCTGTTCGATAGCGGAGAATGGGAATCTCGATACACTTCCAGTAGTCCCTTCCATCCCGTCTCGTTACATTCACACTCTTCCCACTCATCTTTCTCCTCGCATCATTGTTTCCCTCGCCATCACTATCTCCTCTCCCGTCAAATTTTTGCTCGATGTTTTCCCCTCATGCGTTTCTCTTTTACCCCCTGCTTTTCGTTTTTTCCGCATACGGTAATCGTCCTCCTTTGAGACCCATGTTCAGGGTGGTTCTTCTACCGCAAAACACGCTCTTTGCCACACTTGCGCTTTGCAAAAGGCTCATAGCTTAAGGGGGCTTTGTCTTTGTAGTTGGATTTTAGCCTTGGTGCTACGTCAATGGGGATTTTGCTTGGATGCAGCAGTGAGAGTGTCACGTCGCTGTTTTGCGATACATGTGCTCTATCATGCGACAAGTTCACTTCAATCAGTGTCTGTAAAAAAGTTGAGAAAAAAACATCGCGCTTGAAAAAAACGGAACCCCTGAATCAGTGAATCAAGTTGGACCCAACTAGAATTTGGGGTCATAATTTTGTCTGCTCGCTTTAACCTGCAAGCAAGAATCACGTCCTGGCAAGACAGTAACAATTCAAAACACACATTTCACATTTTCCATCCTACAGCAACATCGAGGGACCCTGTATCGAAGCATGATTTCTCAACTCTGGTCAATTCTAAAGTTGCCCGACCAAGTTCGCTGGATGCCAAAACCACCAGTCCCAGTTCGAAGCATTCGCGAGACCAAAAATCAACCAAAGCCCGCGAGCTGGTTAATTTTGTTACCCATTATTCGCAAATAAACCTCAAAACAAGAACTTCGCATTCTCCCAATCCCGAATCGCATGGTTGCCGCGCCTCGATTTCGCACTTGAACATCAGCCCCACCACCCGAATTAGAGATTCGTTCACTCCAGCCCACATCTCGAACATAAATACCTCCCAACAACTCTCAGCAAATTGTCCAGCCAGTTCATCTTGCTCCCTGATTACTGCCATCTGTAGCCAGCCCGCCTCATTCGGCTCAGCATCATGGCTGCTCTCTCCTCCGCCACCGCGGCATCCGCCGCATCCGCGTTCTTCGGCTCGAGCGTGGAGCTCACGGCGAAGGTTCGCAACGTGGAGTGTCGCGTCACGATGCGCAAGACCGTCAGCAAGGTCGCTGACAACCTGAGCCAGTGGTACGGCCCGGATCGCAGCCTCTTCCTCGGCCCGTTCAGCTCGCCGCCCGCGTACCTGAAGGGCGAGTTCCCCGGCGATTACGGGTGGGACACTGCGGGACTATCAGCGGATCCCGAGACGTTTGCCAAGAACCGCGAGCTGGAGGTGATTCACTCGCGCTGGGCCATGCTCGGCGCGCTTGGCATCGTCTTCCCCGAGCTGCTGGCGCGCAACGGCGTGCCGCTGCAAGAGGCGGTGTGGTTCAAGGCGGGCGCGCAGATCTTCTCCGAGGGCGGGCTCGACTACCTGGGCAACCCCGCGCTCATCACGCGCAGAGCATCCTCGCCACGCTCGCCGTCCAGGTGCGTTCCGAACGAGTCGCGTTCAGTCCTACCTTACCTTCCGTTGCCACGCTCGCCGTCCAGATGCGCTCCCTTGTTTGTACATTTCTATGCAGTTCCGTCAGGGATTAAGCCTTCGACACCCCACTTTTGCTCGTCGTTAAACATCTGCGATCCGCAAATACACACGCTGACGCATCTCTGTTACGTGGTAAGCCGATGTCATGTTGCGCAGGTGGTGCTGCTGGGCGCGGTGGAGAGCTACCGCGTGGGCGGTTTGGAGGGGTTCCAGGAGGTTGAAGACCCAATCTATCCGGGCGGCGCGTTCGACCCGCTGGGGCTGGCGGACGATCCCGACGCGGCGGCTGAGCTGAAGGTGAAGGAGCTGAAGAACGGGCGCCTGGCGCAGGTGTCGGCGCTGGGCTTCTTCGTGCAGGCCATCGTGACGGGCAAGGGGCCCCTCGAGAACCTCGCGGACCACCTCGCCGACCCCACCGCCAACAACGCGTGGGCCTACGCGCAGAACTTCGTCCCCGGCGCGTAGAGGGGTAGAGCGAGGTTTGATGAGCTTGGAGGAGGTTTGAGAGAGTTGTAGGGAGTTTAGGACCTCAGCTTGGGGCTTTCCAGGTACCTAAATGTACAGCTGGTGAAATTGCACATACCTGTACAGCTGTAGAGCCAGGATCTGTGTGTACGTATGATGTTTTCGAGAGTTCTTTCTCTGAATCTTTTCAGCTCATTCTCAGATCTAAGACTGACAATCAACAGAGACACAACACATCACCCATGACTCAAGCAAGCCTGTCTCTAGCAAGGTAGCTCTAAAACGCAACCGGAAGAAGACAGTAGAAGTGTTGGACAGTAGAATCTGAACCCGATCTGTGATGTGGTTGGCACACAAATTCATCCTGTTGAAGCTTGAGCGATGTTATGTTAGTGCTTTATAGCCCTAGAGGTTTAGTTTCCCATTACAAGCATCGAATTGGGTGCTTGCTTGGATTTACAAGGTGGTTTTCATCTAGGGATACATACGGTATCTGTAACAAGAGTGTTGCGGGTTTATACACAGTCCGAAATCAGATTGCGTATGGTATGGTGCAATGATGGATGGCCAGGCTTGGTTCACGTGGTAAGAATGACAAGGGTTTCACCATTTTGTGACGAGCATCGTCTGTGATGTAGCCAGCCAAGCCATACGTCCAACACACAGGCCTCCCCGCTCCGCCGCAATTCCCCAGACTCGCACACAACTTCAGTAAACTTCCTCCCACACAACATGAACTCAAAACGAGTGACAGCTCATGCATTCATCCTCTTGCTGATTTCCCTCACCCGCAAGTCCTCCGTCTCCTCCCCCCCACACACCCAGTCATCCCCACAATGCGCCACCCTCAGAGCCGCCCTCATCCGCATCACATCCTTGCTGAAGGTCGACCGGGGGGTGCCCCAGAACACGTGCGCATACACACATACCATCTTCTCCACCGTGCTCCTCGTGCTGCTGTGGGATATCATCCCCGCTGCCTGCAGCTCTGCTGCTCCTGGCGCCGCTGACTTGACACGAGGGTACTGAATAATGGAAAGCTCGCCCCATACCAGGGACTTGAGCATCTGAGAGAACCAGCGGAGCTCCTGAACAGAGGAGGGGTGGGGAGATGGGAGAAGAGATGAAAAGAGTGCCCCAGAACACGTGCGCATACACACATACCATCTTCTCCACCGTGCTCCTCGTGCTGCTGTGGGATATGATCCCCGCTGCCTGCAGCTCTGCTGCTCCTGGCGCCGCTGACTTGACACGAGGGTACTGAATGACCGATACTTCGCCCCACACTAAGGATTTGAGCATCTGGGAGAACCAGCGAAGCTCCTGGGGGTGGGAAGGGAGGGAGGATGGGGGGAGCGGATGGGAGGGAGGATGGGGGGAGCGGATGGGAGAATGGAGAGGTACGATGTTTTTGAGCCGACCGCGGGGTGCCCCAGAACACGTGCGCGTGGGCACACATCAGCTACTCCACCGTGCTTCTCTTGCTGGTGTGGGATAAGAGAGCATTGCCGTTTGATCGCACGCGAACCAGTTGGGATCGTATCCTGCTATTCCCAGCTCCCACCTGGTCGGTTGTATCTGTGGCGACGAAGAGAGTCCGCACAGGTTGGTGCTGCTCCATCCCACTTGATGCTGCCCCCTCCTTTACTCCAGCAGCAACAGCCACATCAGCAGCAGAACCACCACCAGAAGCAGCAGTAGCACCAGCAACACCAGCAACGGCAGTAGCACCAGCAACACCAGCAGCACCACCAGCTCCAGCAGCAGCATTGAGGGCATTGATCCTATCCGCCACGCATCTAGCAATCTGAGACAGTGGTGACCAGCACCGGAACCCCGGCCTCAAGCAGTGCGTCGCAAAATCCGTCCTCCGCAGGTGCAGGGCGGCGAAGCGTGTGCCGAGCACGCGCCGCGCGAACGCGTGGGCGGCGGAGAGGGCGGCGGGGTGCGGCCGCATGGCGAGGCGGCAGGGCGGCAGGATGGGGACGGCACCGTTTAGGCCGTCGTAGAGACCCGGCAGACCGTCTGAACTCGCATGCCCTTCCATCAGCAATTCCGCCCGTAAATTGTGCACTCCCCTTATATCTTCCCCCCGATCCACCTCCCCCACATCCACCTCCCCTGTGATCTCAAACACGTCTCCCAGCCCAATCACGTCTTCCGTGCGGCGGCCAAAGAAGGCGAGGAACTGGCTAAGAGACACGTTGGCGGCGGGTATGGGGGCCCCTGCACATATGCTGGCGAGATGAGCCGGGTCGTTGATACTGGCTTCACTAGCAGCAGTACCACCACTGTTATTGTTACCATTGTCAGCGTCACCACTGTTATCACCGGTGTTACCACCATTACCACTGGTACCACCAGCAGTACTAGTACTGGCACTGGTGCTGGTATTATCACGACTGTAATTGTCACCGTCTGTTGCGCCATAGGTCTCCCCATCCCCATCATCGTGGGGTAGCAGCTTTGCCCATGGCGCCTCGCGAATGAACTGCTGACACGTGGCACGCACAGATTCGCCGCCGTGCCACCACCACCACATCTTCACCTCCACCTCCGTCCTCCCCTTTGGCTTCCACAACCTACCCACCCTCCCCAGCCACCCCTCTGCACCGCTCCCAACCCCTTCGCCTCTGAGGTATGCGTCCACAGTGACCACTCGCCCCTGCCCCACACACTGCTGCAGGCCTGCCACGTCCAGAGCCACTCCCAGGTCCATCCACTCTGGCGGTGCACCTGATAAAACACCTGAAGATACACCTGACGCTCCTGATACACCTGATGCGCCAAGTGCCCTCCTATCAAGTATATTAGCAGCAGGGACACCAATGTTCCAAGTCGACCTAGAAGTTCTCTCTCTGCCCATAAGCCGCCTGCGAGTGTAGCTCTGCACTCTTGAGAGAGGCAAGCCGCTGACAGATGCACCGGGGAGGGATTGCGGTGAGGTGCTGAAGAGAAACGAGGAGCGCGAGGAGGAGGAGGGAGAGAACGACGAGGAGGAGGAGAGGGGGGAGGAGGAGAGGGAAGAGGAGGAGAGGGAAGAGGAGAGGGACAAGGAGGAGGAGGGCTTATGTGTGAGCCATGCCCCCTTCTTCCGAGAAGCACCAGCAGCAGAGGCGGGGTGCACAACCGGCAGCAGTAGAGAGCGGTTGAGCAGAGCTGCAAAGGCCAGGTACCTGGAGGGGCCGGGGGGAAGAAAGAAAGGGATTGATGGGGGAGGAGGGTAGGGAGGGATTGATGGGGGAGGAGGGTAGGGAGGGATTGATGGGGGAGGAGGGTAGGGAGGGATTGATGGGGGAGGAGGGTAGGGAGGGATTGATGGGGGAGGAGGGTAGGGAGGGATTGATGGGGGAGGAGGGTAGGGAGGGATGATGGGGGAGGAGGGTAGGGAGGATTGATGGGGAGGAGGGTAGGGAGGGATTGATGGGGGAGGAGGGTAGGGAGGGATTG